GGTGGGACTGTGTGATAGGGTAATTGTGGCCTACCAAACGAACTGGTCAGTTTTGACATCCTGCTGGGTTTGAAATGAGCCACCCCAGAGGCAGGAGAGAGAAGTTCCCACCACCACCAAGAGGAACAGCCAGGAGCCAGCACATCAGTTGGATCCAGGATCCCTGTCCTGAGAAGCTCCTGGACCCAGGACACATAGAAAGAGAGCTCAAGAAGTGGCAGCAGAGACCCGCAGGAGACGACGCATTGGGCTTCCCGGTGTGTGGAGCAAGAAAGCTGAGTGCCGTTGGGCAGAGACTGAGGGCCAGGGAGAGGCGTGCCTGTGAAGAAGAGGCTGTCCTGATGGAAGAACTGTATCTTTGAGTATTCCTGAGTCTGAATTGTAACCTGTTACTTCTCTAATAAACCCCATAATTATGAATATGGTCTGTGAGTTCTGTGTGGTCATTGCAATGAATTATCGAACCCAGCAGAGAAGTAGTGCTGTGGGAGGGACGGTTGGTGTCAGAGTTGATAAAAATGGTGGAGAAGGCATGTCTGACTTCTGCTTCATAGGAATCAGCCTTGGGCTGTTAATCTTGATTCTCCTTTCCCCTTGTGAAGTTAGAGGAGGTCAGATACCACCTGCATGCCGTTTTTACATATACACAGATATTTCTTAACTCTGTCTACTGAGAGAGCCTGGAAGCAAGGACACTGGGGTAGCAATGAGCACACCCAGTGCTCTAATCTTGATTTAGAATACCATTCTCCAATAAATGGAAGCAAGGATCCTTGGAGAAATGGCTGATTCTAGAACTGGGGAGGAAATATGTAAGATGAGCCTGGAGAATCTTGGAATGTCATAAGTAAAGAAGTGTCAACAAAAAGATGGGGTTATATCAAAGGACACATAAGCCAACTGAAAGAGCGCCTCATGGCCAAAGCTGGAGCAATATGTGCAACAAAATAAAGTAGTATTGGATTATAATCCAAAGTATAAAATAAATATCCATGAGTCTATACTGATATAAATAGGATATTTCTACATATGCATTTGTATGTGCTGTAAATATATCATGTATATTGTAGAGCACACAGGGGACACAGTTATGAAAACTTCTAGGCATAATCAAACACTTCGAGGGACAGAGTCACTGGGCTTGAGGGTTTAGGACCATAGTCTTGGGGGACATCTAGGTCAATTGGCATAACAGTCCATAAAGATAATATCTACATCCTACTTTGATGAGTAGCGACTGGGGTCTTAAAAGCTTGTGAGTGGCCCATCTAAGATACAACTCTTGGTCTCTATCTATCTGAAGCAAAGAAGAGTGAAAAAAATCAAAGTCTCAAGGAAACAATTAGTCCAAAGGACTAATGGGCCACATGAGCCACAGCCTCCACTAGCCTGAGACCAGAAGAACTACACGGTACCTGGCTTCCAATACCAACTGCTCTGATTAACAACACAGTAGAAGATCCTGGACAGAGTGGGAGAAAAATGTAGAACAAAATTCAAATTGATAAAAAAGACCAGACTTACTGGTCTGATAGAGACTGGTGGAACCCCTGAGACTATGGCCCTTAGATACCCTTCAAACCTGGAACTGAACCTGCTCCCAGAAATCTCACTTTTCAGCCAAACAATACACAGGCCTATAAACGAACAGTAACACTTGTGAAGAACGTGCTCCTCAGAACAATCAACCATACCAGACCAAAAGGGCAGCATTTGCCCAAAAACAAAGTTCAGAAGGCAGGAAGGGGCAGGAAAGCTGGGTGAACAGAAATGGGGAAATCGGAGGAGGTAGGTAGAGTGCCGTCATATTGAGGGGCTTGCAACTAATGTCACAAAACAAAACATGTATAAATTGCTGAATGGAAAATGAAGTTACTCTGTAAACTTTCACCCAAATCACAATAAAATGGTTTTTTTTAAAAAAAAAAAAAAAAGAGCTGATTGAATAGATAAATACATGGGGGGAGATGGACAAATCTGGTACAGAGAATTCCAAATAATTTATGTATATACTCTCCCTCAAGGAGGTGGAGCATACCTCCCCACCCTTTAAGTGTGTAATATATGCGGTAACTTCTAAAGAGTACATTATGGAAAGGGGGGACAAAGGAGTAACTTCACAGTGGAGAAACCTTATAAATGCTACCTCAGTTAGTTGATTAAAGTAACTTAATCACTAGTAAGTCATGTTACAGTGTGATGAAAATGGTATTTCACTTCTGTGGTCTTCCTCCCCCAAACCCCTAGCCCCTGTCTAACCATGAGAAAAAACACCAAACCCAAATTGAAGGACATTCTACAAAAATACCTGACTAGTACTCCCCAAAACTGTCAAGGTCATCAAAAACAAGGAAAGTCTCAGAAACTTCTACAACCAGGAGAAACTGAGGAAGACATGATGACTAAATGTAATGTAGTATCCTGGATGGGATCCTGGAACAGAAAAAATACATTAAGTAAAAACTAAGGAAATCTGAATAAACTATGGACTTTAGTTAATAATTATCAATATTGGTTCATTAGTTGTGACAAATGTACCATAGTAATGTTAACAGTATCCATTGCCATCGAGTTGATTCTGACTCATGAAGATCTTGTGTATGTCAAAGTAAAAATGTACTCCATAGGGTTTTCAGTGGCTGATTTATTGGCACTTGATCTCCAGACCTTTCTTGCAAGGTACCTCTGGGTAGATTCGAATCTCCAAACTTTAAGTTAGCAGCTGAGCACATTAACTGTTTACACCACTCAGGGACTTCTGTGTTAACAATAGGGGAACTAATACGTAATGAATGATTGAATGAATGCATAAATGATCTGATTTCTCAGTTAGTTGACTAAGATTTGCCTAACTGAGGCAAACATAGGCCTAACATATCTTTTTCTGTATCTTCGTTTTCAATATTTCTGTGCACAGCTCTGAATACTGCCTTATGTTGAAGTTTTTTTTTTTTTTTACATTTTCTATGCATTGGTGAGATACTTGGATTCAGAAACAGTACATATTCAATAAGCAAATCCTAATAGCCAACCAAGGAGCCCTGGTGGCTCAACAGTTAAGCATTTGGCTGCTAACTGAAAGGTTTGCAGTTCAAACCCACCAAGTGGCTACACAGGAGAAAAACCTAGCAATCTGCTCCCATAAACATTACAACCTAGAAAAGCCTATGCGGCAGTTCTACTCTGTCACATTGGGTGGCTGTGAGTTGAAATCTATTTGACAGCACATAATAACAGCAACAATAGACTACTGAGGCATTCAAATAGAAAAGACTTTTAGATCAATGATAACAAAACCCATTGCCATCGAGTTGATGCCAACTCATAGCAACCCTATAGGACAGCGCAGAACTGCCCCATAGGGTTTCCAAGGAGAAACTGGTGGATTCAAACTGCCGACCTTTTGATTAGCAGCGGAATGTTTAACTACTGTGCCACCAGGGCTCCTACAGATCAATGAATGATAGCCCTACATTTTTACCTAATAGCATGGTGTTATTGTGAATTTTTATTTTTATTGATCGGGCAACCCTGATCACTGTAAAAGTAGCAATGAATTATTTTACTGACCACTAATAGAAAATTGGTTTTATGAACTTATTAAAAAGTTTATTTGTAAAAGTAAATTTAAGGTTAAAATTCTACGGTAATAAACCATATGTCTTAGTCATCTAGTGCTGCCATAACAGAAATACCACAAGTGGAGGGTTTTAAGGAAGAGAAGTTTATTTCCTCACAGTCAAAGTAGGCTAAAAGTCCAAATTCAGGGCGTCACCTCCAGGGGAAGGCTTTTTCTCTCTGTCGACCTTCTTCTCGTCGGTGTTCCCCCGGACTAGGAGCTTCTCTGCTCAGGGACCCCAGTCCAAAGGACGTGCTCTGCTCCTGGCACTGCTTTCTTGATGGTATGAGGGCCCCCTGTCTCACTGCTCACTTCTGTCTTTTATATCTCAAAAGATTGCCTCAGGACACAATCCAGTCTTGTAGATCCAGTCCTGCCTTACTAACACAACTGCCACCCATCCTCCCTCATTAACATCATAGAGGCAGGATTTACAACATATAGGAAAATAACACAGTACCAGGAATCATGGCCCAGCCAAACTGATATACACATTTTTGGGGGGACATAATTCAATCCATGACACCATCTTATAAAAATTGATTAGTTTTTTGTTCTCTAGGGATTTTTTTGGAGTTCCTTGGTACTTGGCTACATTGATTTTGTAAAAACTTGCCCAAATTTCGTAGAACTTTGACAAGTAGGTAAAACAGTTCAACTTAAATTATAATAATCTCTGGCTTTTTAAATTTATTTCAGCTCTTTATTATTAACTTATATTTCTTTGCATTTACTGTGTTTTATTTTCCAGTTTCTTGAAAAGAATGCTTAAATTCGTTTTTTTTTCAGAATTTTAAAATGTATTTCAGTATATTTCTAAAAGAATACCACCTTTGTTGCATCCCACACATTTTGAATTGTGGGGTTCTTTCTGTATTATTCAGATCTAACGAATCAATAAATTCTACTGTTTTTCTTTCTAAACCATGTTTTTAAAGAGTATGATTTTTCGTGTTGGGCTTATATGTTTGCTTATTTTATTTGACTAACTTTGTATTATTGACTTTTAATCTAAAGTTGCATTGTTATTAGAATATGCGGTCAATATGATAGAGTTTCTTTGAAATTTGTTGAAAGTCCTTTTATAATTCTAGTACGTGGTTATTTTTTCAAATGTTCCATTTGTGCCTGTATTTTTTCTGCTTGTTAGCTGCCTGAGTCTTTTTATATATTTACTCTATTCTGGTTATTAATGATGATCAAATTTGCAAACAATCATCTTAGCTGTGTATGCGCTTAGTAAAATGATCTTAAATAGTCTTCATTTAAGGAATTTTTAGTTAAGAATGTAAAGAAACTTCACCTTAATTTAAAGAGACTAACCAAGACAAGTTTGTTCATTTGGACACATAATCTTCATTTTTTTCTTTCCTCTTTTTAGTTGTTAGAAAAATTAAAAGAACGTTGGCTTTCCACTGGTTTATGGCATAATCTGGAGTTGGTAAAGACAGTCATTGCAGAACCACAAGGAGGAGGCAAAACTGATTTTGATGAGTTACTGCAGGTATACTATGATGCAGTCAAATACAAAGGAGAGAAAGGTAATTGGAAATAATTTTATAGCCAATGAAAAAATATTTTTATTATACTATAAGAAGAGATTGGTGTTGTTAGAGTTCTATTTATCTTATCTTGCACTTAAGAGAAAAATTACATTCTTTTGCTTAGAATTGTTCTCTTGTGAATAGTTTCACTTTGGTATCCAGTTCAGTGTAAGAAACAGCAAGCATTCAAGTAGTATCCACAGTCTTCCTTACACCACCTGAAACATTTCGTGCAAGAGTCAGGGGATGCATAAATGTAATTTTGTTTCAGTTGTTTATTTAAAGACATTGAACTTTTGAAACTTTTATCTCAGTAGTGTTTGGTTTTCATTTTTTAAATTTTCTACTATGACTACTTAATAATCAGATATTATCAAAGTGATAAGAATACGCAAATTCTGGGAAATTTTGAGTGTGCTTTTTAAAATGCTCATTTTCTGTTGTTTAAGATGGAGCGCTCCTGGTAGCAGTTTGTCGTGGTAAAGTGAGTGAGGGTCTGGATTTCTCAGATGACAATGCCCGTGCTGTCATAACAATAGGAATTCCTTTTCCAAATGTGAAAGATCTACAGGTAGGCCATTAAAACTTTAATAAGTTTTGTCATAGAAGTCATTGATTTTGTATGAAGTTAATTATACATTTTCCTTTTATCTTCAGACATTTTATTTTAAATCTTTGGTGAATATGAATGAGTGAGAAAGGTTTAGTAGATAAAGGTTTATTTTATTTTTCACTTACACTGTCTTTAGCTGAACAAGAGTGATTCTGAAATTGTGATCCCTGGGTGAGGAGCATCATCTGGGAACTTGATAGAAATGCAGATTTTCAGACCTACCGAATCAGAAACTCTGGAGGTGGAGCCCAGCAATTTGTGTTTTGTCGAGTTCTCAGTCATAGACTTACAGGGGTCCCACCAGGGAATTCTAGGACTCTTTTCTACCTACCTTCCTTCTCTCCAGTGCCCTGCCCTGCAGATTTCGGCTGCTCCAATCTCTTCCACCTCAGCTTAGCAGGACCGCTGTGCTCTGTACTGTAACTCTGCACTGTTGGCAGAGAATTATTCCCGGGAAGAGAACTGGGAATCAATGGAGTTTACCTAATGAATTTCCCTTATCTCTGGGATTGCAGTTCTGTGCTGCCTGATATCTGCTCCCTGAAAGCAGTTGCTTTATCTATTTTGTCTGGTTTTACTGTTATTTACAGTGAGAGGGATATTCATAAACCAGTTACTCTATCTTGACCAGAAATGGGAGTTTTGCCTCGTTATCACTGGTTGTTTGCTAACCATTATATTTGGAACACTTTATGGAAATAATTTGAGGCCTAAGATGTAATTATCTTCCAGCAGGTAGGATTTTCTTTTCTTTCTTACAGGCATTTGAAGGTGCTAGCAATCTGAGACCAAAGCTTGAGGTTTTCTGGCTACTGAGTTGACTTAACTGAGTACAATCTGTATTCATCCTCCCAGGATTCAACCTGTTAGGGTCTCATACCAGAGCAGGAGTTCTTTTGTGAAACAGTTATCTTCTTTAATTGTCAATATTTTACTAGGCACTGTGAGTTATGTAATTTTTACTTTTATTTCTCTAGGCCATAGCAGTCCTTGGGTAGCATTAATATTAACAGTAATAAACAGTATTTCTCTGGTTCGCTCCTACTTCTTCCCATAACTGTGGACCTCTTCAAAATTTCTAAAAGTCCTCAGGGGGTGTCTCACCTGATAATTCATAATCTAATCCTTTCAGCCTCTCCTGACTTTCTCTAGCTACCAGTACCACCATTCAGGTCACTGATGGCCATACTGAGAGCTGTATCTCCTATTTTAAAAGGCTAATGTTGCCTTTGACTGCTGCTGCTGCTGGAATAGTTGACATCCACTCAAGAAAAACTATTGTGTCCACCGTTATCTACATGAGTGCTGCATTCCACTGAAGCTGTGTGCTGCTGATAGCTGTTGGCACTGGTGCTATCTTATCCTTTTACATTAAAATTTATTAATATTATAGCTACCAGGCCTACATTATTGCACTAATGCTGCTTTGTTAAAGTGGAGAGAATCCCTTTTCCTCTCTACCCGACTCAGCTGCATTGTTCCAATGTTTTATACATAATTTTTGGCCCCTAAAATTAGCTCTTTCAATTTTGCTTGTATCTCTTTCTTTCATGGACCTACTCATGAGTATTTGAAAGCTGGAAAAGAAGATAAACTTTATGGTTGTTCTAAATATTATATTCACAAAGTTACAAGGCCTGTAATGATTCACATCAAACTCATAATAGTGATTGCATCTGAGAAGAGAAGGGAATGATACTGGGAGTAGTTATCAAAAGGGAATTCAACTTTTTCCGTAATTTTTTTAAATTTTATTGTGTTTTAGGTGAAAGTTTACAACACAAATTAGTTTCTCATTCAAAAATTTATACACAAATTGTTTTCTGACATTGGTTGCAATCCCTGCACTGTATTAGCACTCTTCCACACTTTCCCTTTGCACCTTGAGTTCCCTGTGTCCGTTCTTCCAGTTTTGCTGTCTCTTCCTGCCTTCTCATCTTTGCTTTTGGGCAGGTGTTACCCGTTTGGCTTCATATACTTGACTGAACTAAGAAGCACGTTCCTCACGTGTGTTATTATTTGTTCTATTACCCTGTCTAATCTGGCTGAAAGGTGAACTTTGGGAGTGGCTTCAGTTCTGAGTTAACAAAGTGCCTGGGGGCCATGTTCTCCATGGTTCCTCCAGTCTCTGTCAGACCAGTGAGTCTGGTCTTTTTTTGTGAATTTGAATTTTGTTCTACATTTTTCTCCCACTCTGTCCAGAACCCTGTATTGTGATCCCTGTCAGAGCAATCGATGGTGGTAGCCGGGCATTTAGTTCTTCTGGGCTTAAGCTGGTGAAGGCTGTGGTTTATGTGGTCCTTTGGACTGATACTTTCCTTGTGTCTTTAGTTTTCTTCATTCTCCTTTTCTCTGAACTTGACTGGACCAATAGATGTATTTTAGGTGGCTGCTTGTAAGCTTTTAAGACCCCAGGCGCTGCTCACCAGAGTAGACTGGAGAACATTTTCTTCATGAACTATTTTATGCCAGTTGAGCTAGATGTCCCTGAGACCATGGTCCCTAGCCCTCGACCCCAGTAACTCAGTCCTTCAAGAAGTTTGGATGTGTCTAGGAAGCTTCTATGGCTTTGCCTTGGTCAAATTGTGCTGACTTCCCCTATAATGTATGTTGTCTTTTGCTTCATCAAAGTTAACACTTGTCTATTATCTAGTTAGTGATTTCCTCTCCCCACCTCTCCCATCCCTTGTAACCATCAAAGATTATTTTTTTTCTGTGTGTAAATCTTTTCATGGGTTTTTTATAATAGTGGTCTCATGCAGTATTTCTTTTGTAATTGACTTACTTCACTCAACATAATGCCCTCCAGATTCATCCATGTAGTGAGATGTTTTGAGGATTCATCATTGTTCTTTATCATTGCATAGTATTCTATTGTGTGTATGTACCATAATTTGTTTATCTATTCATCTGATTCCATCTTTTTGCTATTGTGAACAATGCTGCAATAAACATGGGTGTGCATATGTCTAATCGTGTGACGGCTCTTATTTCTCTAGGATGTATTCCTAGAAATGGGGATTGCTGGATCAGGTGGTATTTCTGTTTCTAGATTTTTAGGAAGGCACCATATCATTTTTCATAGTGGTTGTACCATTTTACATTCCCACCAGCAGTGCATAGGGGTTTCAGTCTCCCTACAACCTCCCAACATTTGTTACTTTCTGTTTTTTTGATTAGCGTCAGTAATGTTGGGGTGAGATGGTATCTTATTGTAGTTTTGATTTGCATTTCTCACTGGTGGCACAGTGGTTAAGAGCTTGGCTGCTAACCAGAAGTTCAGCAGTTCAAATCTACCAGCTGCTCCTTGGAAACCCTATGGGGGCATTCCTACTCTGTCTTATAGGGTCGCCATGAGTTGGGATCGACTTGATAGCAATGGGTATGGGTAACGGCTAGCGATTGCGAGCATTTCCTCATGTGTCTGTTAGCTGCCCGAATGTCTTCTTTGGTGAAGTGTCTGTTCATATCCTTTGCCCATTTTTTAATTGGATTATTTGTCTTTTTGTTATTGAAGTGTTGAAATATTCTACCAATTGTAGAGATTAGACCTTTGTCAGATATGTCATAGCCAAATTTTTTTTCCTAGTCTCTAGGTTCTCTTTTTACTATTTTGGTGAAGTCTTTTGATGAGCGTAAGTGTTTAATCTTTAGGAGCTTCCATTTAGTGTACGGTGTGAGGTATGGGTCCTATTTTATTTTTTTATAGATGGACATCCAGTTTTGCCAGCACCATTTGTTAAAAAGACTATCTTTTGCCCCCATTTAATGGTCATTAATATTATAGATACCAGGCCTACATTATTACACTAATGCTGCTTTGTTGAAGTGGAGAGAATCCCTTTCCAGTCTTTTTCTTCCACACCCAATTGCATTTTTTTCCAATGTCTTATATATAATTTTCCCCCTAAAATTAGTTCTTTCAGTTTTTGCTTGTATCCTCTTTCTTTCATGGACCTACTGGTGAATGTTTGAAAGCAGGAAAAGAAGATAAACTTTATAGTTGTACTAAATATTATACTCACAAAGTAACAAGGCCTGAAAGGATTGAGATCAAACTCATAATAGTGATTGCATGTGAGAAGAGAAGGAAATGATATTGGGAGTAGTTATCAAAACGAAATACAACTTTTTCCATAATGTTGTTTTTTTTTAAAATGTTTTTAAAGCTTCAAGAAAATATGAAAATACAGGTTTTTTTTATGTTACTCTTTGTACTTTGTTTTTAAATCATTAAAAAAAAATTTTTCATGTTACTTGAAAGAAAAAAGGTCACGTTTACCTTGTGTTTTCTCCAATCCCACCCACCTACAATGATTCTGGGCATTGTTTTTATACCAAGCTTAGGTTCTTTATGCTTGCTTTCCTCAGGATAAGTTTTTCCCAGACAGCATTTCAGTCCATTATGCAAAAAAGACACCTGATGGCCTGCTCTGACATTCCTCAGTCATGGTCCTGCTTGTCATAGTACTGCTTGTCTGAATCTCAATGGTTTATGTTACATAAAATAGCAAAACGATAGAAATGTCAATGAGCTCTAGATGGGGAGAAGAAGGGTAGTTCTAAAGGAGTTTCCTTGGTGACTCCAGGGAGAGGGAGAGGATAATCCATATCTTTCCTCCCAGAGGCACAAACTTGGTTACCAAAAAAAAGCTGACTCATATCAACTGATGTAATAGCTGAAACCAGACCTTTCCCACTCTTGATAAGGAGAAAGGTCTGTGATGTTCTACGGTGAATTAGCTAGTTCCTCATTTGTGTTTTCATTCTCCTTTTTTAAAATGCGTACTATACTGCCTTCATTACATTATATTTTAGTGATTATAAATGTTTTATGATCCATTAGATTGTGTACCTTGAAGACAGGGACAGTTTCTTTAATACCTCTGTATCTCTATAATTAAAATATTGCTTTTACTCAATAAATGTTGATTGAATTAATGATTAAATGAGGGTTT